CAGCTTGGACGGCAGGGCACGCATCGTGCTAACTCATGCAAGATAACCTCAGTAGATTAGAGCACTTTGACTCCTAGTACAATTCGAAAGATTTGAGCGAAGCGAATGTGGCGTACTACAATGCTTGCTGTCTATAAATCTAACGAAATAAAGTGAAAAAATAATGACCTTTTGAAGTATTCATATGCCAAGTTTGTTGAAACCACTGAAATATCTTTTCACTGGGAACTCCCACTCGTGGAAAGTATGAAATGGTTTGATTCTGTAGACAAGGAGCTGTGTATCAGAAGAGAAAAGAGGAAAACACGACAACAGCGTTGCTAGAAGAGCATAATCACTTTTCAAATAATTTAAATAGCAATGAACAATAAATGTACGACATAACTCTGTACTTCTAACAACAAAACAAGGATAAATTGTCGTAGTTTTATGATTGCTAAACCCCTAAAGAAAACGCCGTTAGTGTCACCTTCAGAGATAATAGCATTAATAGCATAGCTTTATGATACTACTTCCCTAAAGGGTCTCGATCTCCGGATTGAACTCCGGATCCCTTAGCAAGGTCTGCAGTGTTGAGACGAGTTATTCGCACACGCGCGCTGCACCTGATAACCGCGGGGCCGGCCTGGCCGCGCACGCGATGAATTTTTGCTTACAGTCACAAGAAACGGCAAGCCCGAACTTACTATGAATAGTCAAATTGGATGCTGCGCAGTTGTCTGTCCAATTATTGATTTCAAAATCTTCACAATAGTATGCAATTTGTCTACATCATTTTGTAAAACGAAGAGCGGCATCACAACCAAATGCCCCGAGTAGGACGCTCGGATACATAGATTGTTCATTTCGGCAAGAACGACAACCATAGCAGACTCGGCATTTGCCTCTGTGGGCCGTCTCGGCTCGTATTTAACAAAACCACCAATATACTCACTGCTCAGAATGCAGTGAAGAATTTAGCTGACAAATGCGCAACGTTCATTATCCTGCCACAACGAAATTGATTTTCTCTTTCCTTAGCTCTATGTAAACGCGATAAATGTCCATTCACATAAAGTTCAATTCTAAATCTTTGTAACCATCACTTCGAACGATATATGCACTATGAAATAAGATAGTTATAGCGTGAATTTCATACTACTTTCTCCATTTTTTGAGGTTTTCTTTCAAAGTTCCTTTTTCATCTTCCACGGAAGAGGTCAGACATTTTATGAAAAAAGCCCGCATCTAGCTCTTATGTTCGTTTCTTATGTACAATGGAGATACCATTTTAGTTTTACCTATATGTATTCAGTGAAATGAAATGCAACTTCTTCTACATTTTGGAAGATTGTCGCGAATTTGAGCTAAAAAATGTCAGCGTTCAAGGCGTCGTTCCAAATTCAATTTCTTAAGCTCTCATAGCTGATCTATTTCTCCCCTTCTCTCGCTCCAATTGTGAAGGTGACCAGAGCCGCGGTTCTTTGTACCTAACCTTTGGTTAGTGTGCTGGTAATCGGTGTCGAAATCACACATGCGTCTGGAAAGAGTCCAAAAAAGTTTTAATATGTTGTTCACGAAACGTCCCTGGTTGGTTTTGTTAGCATAGTAAGTGTTTGGAAGAGCAGGTGATTGTTACCTATTTTCCAAGCAACCTAATCCTGTACCGAGGCGCCGTAGCGATATCGAACATCTCACCAATTTATCCATAGCTTCCCATCGGATCTGTAATTTTATCCACTGCCGTGTAACTACGACTAGCAAGGAATCACATAAGTCAAAGAATGATACTTGCACTATCAAATAGGGCTTGAAACGCTAATTTCAATTCTATTTTCGTTCGCTATACAATCATTTTCGTCTTCTTTAAGAGTTACAAATGTTTATGTCAAAAATGGCAAGGAATTCTTTGGACGAAGGAGTCTGAAACTAGCGGTTCAAGACCTAGCTGCCCATCACATTTTGACCAGTCACCCCGACCTATACCTATTATCAGCCCGAAAAAGTGGAAGGTATCGCTTAGCTGGGCAGCTTGTTACTAACTTTGTTATTAGCGACCCTAACTCTGTTTTATGGGTCTTGAAGTTCTGAATCATGTTCCAGTACAGTTGAACCAATTTTTCATATAATTCGCAGACTCGTTCACGAAGAAATAAATATGTTTTTGACGGGAGCTATGAAGACTGTATCCTACGTGTTTGGAAGTTTGTGTAACAGTTTTCAGCTCCGTCTCCTTGAAAGCAGAGGACAGCACTGACAGTGAAGCAGAACAATCAGAATCTGGTCAACAATCCTCCGGCCATGGAACCAACATCGTCAGACCAAGAAAGGCAAAAAAGGGACCCTTTGACTTCGAACACCTTAGAATTGTCCAGGTTTGCTGATTTCTACTTTCGAAGTTTTAGGTTCATCTTTTATTTTTCGAAAAAACAATTATGTGTGTATAAAATATATGCCAACTTACGCACACACTCCTTCCTAGACAAAGCGCTGCGAGGGCGCTTTGTCTAGGAAGAGTGTGTGCGTTAGTTTCCTCCAAAAGGCACCATAGCCAAAGCGCGCGCATCGTGAAGTACCTCATGTGTGGTAAGCGCAGGTAAAGGCGGCTGTTTTATAGAGAATGCATGGAAGTTGATGTAATGAAGCTTTATGATAATGTGCGTTCTGAGAGTTGTAGCAAATATATGTTAGAGAGGAGCTGGAAGTAAAGTTTGCCCACTCTCTAAGGATATACAAAGTGCTTCAGATTGTATCATTTATGAGAAATATGCTGATTAAAGGAAGTCCCGTCGTAGCAAATGCCCTTCTTAACAACAAAGTTTTGCTCAAACTCACCAATAGAAGTTGCATGTCGATCCCAGACAAAGCTCCGTTTTGCGGTGTTTGACCTGGGAAGAATATTATATTGCATATTTCCAGTTCCCTGTAGCGTTGAAAGCAAAAATAAATTCAAAGGTAGGTGATTTCTTTAATGGTCATTAAACTTAGCGCGCCTTAGCAACCAAATTTTCAGCAGCATAAGAAAAATGCAGAAATCAACGAACTAATGAAGCTAATAAATACTTAGAAGAACAAATGGCTATCTCACCCTTTTCCCCTGAACCAAAGTATCTATGCAAAGTTTGCGTCGCATCGGTTCAGAAACTAAATTTCGTTATTTGCGATATACCTCTTAGTACAACGATTCTCTGCATTTTTTTGTGTAACGTTCAAAAATCCGGAACATTCCAGGAGATATCGAAAATACATATCTCTTTTTGTTAACGGCAATCTTGAATATCTTTATAAGTTACGTTAATGTCTCATCTTTACTTTATCCTAACAATCAATCTGATGAGACCGAGAAC